GATCGTAAAGAGGGTCACTTATGGCAAAACAAATCTTGTAATATCATTCAACTTTAAAATCGACAGAGTTTTAGTCGATGTGTTCTAATAGTTGTACAGATTAAACATTTTGTGAACGAGAACATTACGGAAGAAAATAAGGATGTGGGAGACAGCATGACTGATGATGATTTACACAACACAACAGTAAAAAGAAAATGGATTTGTGTGACAAGTACATTACATCATACCTTTCAGTTAAGGTCCACTCTGTCTGAACCAAATGTCTGAAAAATGGTATGTCAGCAGAATATAAGATATTTTACATATCTAAAGTAATATCAGGCTATAAAATCCGAAATCTGAACCAGTATACAGAGAAATACTGTATGATATACGATACTTTACGGTCACATAAATGTTTGAATTTGATAGATAATTCATGTAATGGTATGTCTCAGATAGATGTTATAGTATGTTTGTAAACCAAGAGGTGCATGAATTCCAAGATTATCATTTTTTAATAACGTCCATGCATTATTATGCCATACAGTAATTTTTAATGTACCTAGTACTCCATATTTCCTGGTTTTGTTACAAAGGGGAAATTGCCCTGTGATTCCTGTTTATATTTTGACGTGGTAACGCTTGTACTACCGGAGAAAAATGATAACAATGTTGTTGTTTCCCATTAAATGCACACGCTATACTTTAGCAAAAATGTTGTGAACTTTGAGCGTATTTAACAATTTAATAGCAAAAAGCGTAATAGAAATACCATAGTTAGAAAAGAACAGATTTTACAGTAAAAATGGTTGGGCTGCATTAAACCTTCAAGCCATTTTCATATGTGTCACAGTTAACTATTTGTATACAGAGTTTTGTTATCAGGAGGTGGTTGTATTCCGAAAGTTTTGGGTTTTTTTGTAATGTGCAATAGTAAGTTAAATGACTCTATTATTCAGTGGCCATATGATTGGGTGTACCTTATAGAAAAAAATATTATGATCTGGTGGCACGTGTTGTGAAAAATATTTTTCACTTCCGGAATATCACATATTCCTTCCGGTTGCTGATGTGGTTTACTTTTTGCTCGGTTTGCTGTTATTTCATATCGAGTTTTAAAAAATGTGACCAATGTGGTACATTTTTGTTTCTAATCGTTTATTCCTGGTGTATTTACCAGTAATTGTTATATATTAGATAAATAACTGCGTAGATACATAAAATTCTTCGTATTCCGCAAGTTGATTAAGTGTTCATCTACATTCTTCTCGGTGACATGTGCTCATGGCTTCTAAATTGTCTTCGCTTTGGTGCAATCTGTTAGCAGATTGTACTGTCATTCAAGGAATCTACAGTGACACATGACAGTCTTATCAGTTTATATATATATTGAAATGCATTACATGTTCTAGAATCGATTAAGATAAAAATAAGGCTGACAAGTAATCATAGAAGAGAGAATAACTGAAGTCTTGAGCGACATTTATTTATGCAAGTCCTGATACTGTAGAATAAGGTATATAACATTCACATGAATTTGACACGTGATGTGTCGAACTGTGTCGAGAATACCAGTTTATTGTTTTTACAACAGGAAGGTTTGGAGACATTTTGAAGACCACGTGATGTATTATATGCATGTTTTTGAAGTAATCACAGGCGTTGTTGCTAATACTAGCTATTCCGTGTCGGAAATACGTCATCTCGCCCCAAGCTCTTGCGTGAGTGATCGGTAAGTTTGGGTATCGGTAACAAGGCTGTCATAATCTATGACATAAGTTGCTTCAAAGACATGCACGAAATATATTTTTGTTTTTGAGATCCGTAAATAGGTCGTTGAAAGGAGTGCTTTTATTACATGTCTTACCTCAAACATTATAGTAGAGCATACAGATCAGAATCAGCGTTTCATCCTTAATGAAATACTCAAGGGTCATAGTTGAAATTATTTGTGCACGAATCAAAACAAAAAATATCTGTAAATAATGCCGTCAGCAAACAACAGGATATACCAGTGTATTAACCCGTGGGAAAGGTTACAAAACAGATTCATTCATCACAAAAAAAATTCCGATAGAGAGGATGGATCCCGGAAATATTCAGTTGAACAAAGAGTAAATTTACTTTGATTACTCTACCAAGATAATTCTATTTGCAGTGTTCTGTTTCCCTAATGACGCAAACATGTCAGCTCATACTAACCGTAAAAGCCAATGTGTTGAAGTTAGATATCGTATAAAATGCACTGAAGTTATGTCAAAGCCGGTGACTATAAACTAGGAATAAACAACACTCAAATCTACCATTGCCCTAATCACCCATGAGTATTCATTATGATGAAATGTATTGTGCGTCGACACGAACCGCTGTTGGAAATTTCATTAAGAGTCATCCCGTCATGGTACATATTAACAGAACGTTATTAATACAATATTATATGTGACAAGCGATTGTTCATTTGTCACAATAGTCTAACACGTCAGCTGAGTACTTTTATTTGTGCGGTTCATTGGACCATGAAATTGCATGTTTATGATTTATAAGTTAATCTGATCGCTAACAAAGTCCTACATTGTCTTCCGAGCTTCAAACAATAATCAATGTTGCGAAGCAAAACTGTTCCACTTTAAATAACTTACAACGATACAAGAGAAGATTAGAAGCCTGATATTCTCTACATTAATATCCCTCTTCTTATCGTTATCTTAGTAACGTATCGACGATTCCATGCTCTTATTGGGAGAGAAATAAAACCTGAAATTCAGACCATAACAGTCCGTTTCCTTATGATTGTTAAATGATTGTAATACCGAAGCATAATAAGCCAGTATTTCTTCTCTGGAAAAAATACATAATGTAAAGGTTCGTGTTCCTTCATTATCAAGCAAGTCTAGTTCTTTTAAACAGGAAATGCAATCATGTTTGCAGGCAAGGATCAAGTTACTGAACGCCTTATCTGACACAATAACATACCTGTCAGGTAAGTCGTGAAGTGTGCATTTAACATCAGGATCGAAGAAAACTGACCGTTGTTTTTTCACTGATTTCCGCACTTCCAATTCTTTTAGAATGATGGATCGAATGGACTAAACATATCCAGAAAATGAATGTGTTACGGAAAAAAATCCTGTTTGTTATGTGTGATTTTGTTTATGATATCTAGTGCTTGAAGATAAATATACATTACATATCTCAAATCTTATTTTCCCCGGTTATTGGAAGCAAATGTTCACGACTAATATATCAGATCATAAATTTTTCTCCCACCTCTGCCCACGTAGGATAGACATGTCCCATGTGGAACGACCATGGAGGATAAATCTTTCTCCCACCTCTGCCCATGTAGGATAGACATGTCCCATGTGGAACACCCATGGAGGATAAATCTTTCTCCCACCTCTGCCCACGTAGGATAGACATGTCCCATGTGGAACACCCATGGAGGGTTAATCTTTCTCCCACCTCTGCCCATGTAGGATAGACATGTCCCATATGGAACACCCATGGAGGATAAATCTATCCCACATGACTGCACTCGGTGACCTCAGTCGGCTATCACAACTGACTCAAACCGACGAGTGGATGCTTTGTTTGCAGGTTCCGTAATGCGCAACTGTAACATCACAGTTAACATTAACTATAACAATCCTTGTCCAGTGAACACAAATAAATTCATATTGCGAATTTGCACCATTGCAATTTTTCGCGCGCATAAACAATTGACGTCATTATCAACATTGTCCATGACATCGCGGCAAGCCTACCCTACCTTAATAAATGATACAGAATTAAATGTTGTTCAATACAAGTATTTCCATGTATCTATAGCTAATTAAAATATTTAATTTCCAAAAAAATAAATATTTCTAATGGTTATTCATATTGCGTTTGTAGTTTCTCATTTTGCTCTCGCGGAAGAATGTAGAATTTTGGAAACGTGAATGGTGATATTCATGCGCCATTCAGACACTTGTACCGTGGGATTTTTTTTTTTACGTCTTGGCGGAGATAATGGGGTGGGAGAAAAATAATCAACCCCTACCCTCAGAGGATGTGACAGAGAAATCTCCAACCTTAGGGTGATTTTTTTTGTAGTCTAACCCGAGGCTCTTAGACAACAACAAAAATCACCCCTCGGGTTGGAGATTTGTCTATCACACCCTCAGGGTAGGGGAAGATTCTATTAATCCTTTTTGTTTACTGCCAAGTATTGTACATGTAGCAAACGAAACGGTTATCTAGTAATGACAGTGTTTGTTATCGTTTCCCTCTGAAGACAACAATCATTGTTTTGAGATGTACCAGATGGTTTTTTTTTCTTGTAAAAAATGTTTATATTTCTCGATCTGGTTCTTAACAAGTAAACCATTGCTCCTTTCTCCATGGTGACAATTCCTATATGAAAGGACGACACCGGGCTACCATCGACTTTCAGCACCGAGGCGCTTTGTCCGCTTCCATGCCTGGCTTCAAATGAACAAATCCGTATATGAAATATTCATGTTTGTTTGAGTTGGTAGACACTGGTGTACTTAATTAACCCGATCTGCTCGATATCTAGAGTATGATAGGGCCAAGTCAGAGGTATTTAGTTTAAGCGGTGATGACAGGTCTATCCTGGATGATCATAAAGGGTAATTGCTTTATTGTTCGTCATCTGTATAGACCGAGACCTTGTATCATAGATTTAGTCACCATATACAGTGTTTCATTATAACCTAATGGATTTTCTCTGTTTTTCAGATACGTCTGGTGACCGTGATTTGACAGCAGAACTCCTCCATGTTCTCAGACAGAGAGTTGACAATCAAAATGTGAAAGCCAACAAATCAGACATCCTGTTTCAAAATTGCCATTGTCTGCACGAAAAGGAAATCTGATCGAAAATTCGCTAAGCTGAACAGGAGCGGTAACATTGGCGTTCAGATCATGGATTAATGTTCTGCAATAGTTTGACATATTTTTTATGTTTTCACAAATAGGTTCCTAGAATCAAAACACCTAGCCTGTTCAAGATGAACCAAACAACTGATGAAGATATGAAAGACATGCTGGAAGACATATGTTACAAGTATATCGGACCCGTGCTTTGTGTGTTCGGTATCGTCGGGAACATCATCAACTTGATCGTGTTGTCACGCCAACAGCTCGTGGAATCACCGTACATTTACCTAAAGGCACTGGCTGTGACGGACATGTCGGCCCTTCTCTTCTCCTTCCCCTTCATGGTAGTATCAAGAGAAGCAACGACCTTTCCTCTCAAGTGGTATAACGCCTATGTATTCCTGCCTGTCGTCAACTTCTTCACGGCTTCCAGTATCTGGATAACAGTCGTGATGACCATAGACAGATTCATTTTCGTGAAATTTCCGATATGGGCAAGATGGCGATGTAGTCGATTTAGTGCGCAGGTGCGGGTTTGGATTATCCTTTTTGCGACTGTCTTGATAAGTGTTCCGCGATTATTTTGTTACAAAGTAGTGCCTATTGTGGTGGACAATGCGAATGTGACCGTGACCGACCTTCACGGGTACCGAATCAAATCTACCGAGTTTCGGCTGAGCGAGCATTACCAGATAATGAACATCGCCCTTATCATACTAATTCACTTTCTGCCGCTCATTATTCTGTGTGTAATTAACATTTATCTTATCATAGCCGTACAACAAGCACGCATTGCGCGCGAGGAGCTCAATCTGAGAAACAACATGGAGACGGAGTGGCAGAAGGACCAACGACGGTTTACTATCACACTTATTAGCATAGTGCTTTTAGCTATCGTTTCCATCTTGCCCGCAGCAATTTGTGATATCATGGTTGAGATGAGATTTGGACTCAAATATTCAAAGCTCATGCAGATTATCGCTAATCTTCTTATGTGGCTTAATCTGTCCATGAACTTTATCATGTACTGTGCGTTCAACAAAAAATTCGTGCGGGTTCTAAAGGACGTAATGGGACGAAGCATTTACCGATTTCGGTATTCACTAAAAAGCGTAGGAGGTCAAAGTGAAATGACAACTATGTAGGAAATCTAAACGCTTAGTTAGAAAAAAAGTTTACTTACATGGAGTACGTTCTTTGTGGATGTGAATCAATGTGTCTCTTCACTTTTGCATTGCATTTATTGTGATATATAGTTTTAACTTAAATGTCCTTCAACAATCGAAAGCGCTTAATGCATGAATATCCATCATCCGATTCAAACGCTTATGTGGCACTGCTGATATCTGATATCCGCATCACCATAATCCCGTCCCGGAAGTTTTGTCCTCGTAAAAGGAGCTTCATTAATCGTTTCTGAAAATAATATTTTCTGATTTACGGGGTAAAGAAATCTGCATTACCTTAGACAGATGATGTGGAAAATGTGTATCCCTACTTTGTACTATCCTGTGACAGAGCTCAATAACATGTATAACAATAACGCGTGTAGGGGTATTCCTATCGAGTTTTAAATGCATTCATCGAATATGTTTGTCTGTTACAATGTGCATAGGTCGAGTTTTACATGTAAATCAATTTCCTTTCGCATGTGATGTAAGCAAACTCGCAGAAGGTCGTTGATTGACAAAAATGCTGTATCGGTGTAAAAATAGAGGAGGCTTCACTTTCACAATATGTTAAGTGGGATTTCCCGAATACATATAGCTTATTGTTTTCTCGGTAACGTGCTGCGTATGGTGAGAGGAAAAAAATCGCTAAACTTGGTAGTTGTAGTTGTTGTTGTTGAAATCTGGATCAGCAGTTTAATTTATGGAAGTTTAACATCCTAACTCTCTTAAAAGTCATTTTTCATCCTATATTGTTTTATATGAGGACATGTTGACGCAACTTGAATTAATTTTTCAAAAATGTTTATCGTGTGTTTAAACGCTGTATATAACGTAGCAATATTTTAACAAGAGATATGACAGGTTTATTTATTTATTCATTAATAACACATTATCGAATGAATTGTTTACTCTCTTGTGTCTTGACCATCCATAAAGCTTTGTTGTCAATACAAAGTTGAACATCTTAGGTAGCAGCAGGATTAGAATAAAAGCCTCAGATATCAGAAAGAAAAATGTTTCCATTATAGTATCAATGTACGTATAATATCTAGCATTTACATTTTACAAAAAAATTGATTCAATTTGCTCGGATTCATTATAAAAAAATCATATATCCATAATATTTCCATTCGTGAAAGCTTTCCCACTTTTTATGATGTTTGTAAAACCATCACAATGAGGCGAGGACATAATGTAAAAGTGTTTTAATGGCCTTTTTGGCGGTTATCAAAACATTGAAATAAAATGCGTGTAATTTTCATGCAGAAAGTCATAAATTCGATGATTTCTCCATTGATATTATTTTGAAGGTGTAAGTTTTTTCGCGAATTAATCATATCCTCGGAAATATCTTTTTAAAATGTTAACATGTACATGTAAATGAAAATATCGGACAATATGTATGACTAATGTGTACGTCATTAGTGCTGGTTTTTGTGTATGTATTGTGCACTGCTAAGTTACCGTGGGACCAATACCATTGATTAGCTCCTACAACCATCACTGACCTGGTACAGGTATGCCTGGTCTCGTTTTATCTGTTATTGTTGTAATAGTTATTTAATTATCATTACATTTTTTGCAATGAAGTTTTAATTACATTCAAATTCAACTCCATAGATACATATGACAAAAATTATTCATACAAAAACGTAAAAAAAGAGTTTTATAATGATAGATCATGTTAACTGCCAGCTGAATATCATGGATAGCATGATTCATGTGCAGTTTGGAAGCCCATCATAAAGTGTCGACTCTACCGATTGTGCATACTATATTAACTTCATGTTGTTGCTCATTTTGATCCTTTACTCTTAAGGGTAGATGGTAAATAATCGTATGATGTAGTTTGCTTATTCTGTCATGTTCACTTGCTTTTGTTGACTTTAATGATTTTTTCCTGTTTTCCACATTGTTAAATCAGCATTTTCATCATCTCAATCACTGCCAGTTGTCTTGTATCACTTGTTTTTGTATGGCTGTTTAACTTCTCTATTTTGGACGAGTCTGTTACCTGATTGGATTAATCGATTACTTTAAAAATCGTTTCATTGTTATTGGTTCCTCGAAAACACTGCTTGTTTTAGAATCCGTCTCTAACACTCAAGAATTAATCATTGAATGTACTTAAAGGTTTATGCGCCCATCATTTGCTGGTTTACAAGAACAACACACTGTCAACTGTATATTACTTTTTACCTATATTAAACATTCAATGTTTCGTTTAGTTTCCAAGTTTTAAATATCGTGAGAAAAACTGCTCAAAAGTAGTGCACGCTGATAAGTATGGAAACCAGTAAAACGACAGTTGTATTTATTGAAATATCGACTTTAGATGCAACCTAGACAATCGACACTCATCAAATGCCCAATTTAATAGCGAACAGAAAACACGTGTCAAGCACATAAAAAAAGTGAACAAATTTTCACAAACTATCATTTATAAAGTTGTGACACCGAATTGAAAGTCCCAGTACTGCTTTGTGCCAATGGCTGATAGCAAGAAAAAAGTCTCCTTCGTTCAGATGCTTTATCGTGTGTGCAGAAAACAAGAATCTGGTTGAACAGGACTAAGTGATCAGTGTCTTACCATGCAAACCTGACGATATTGTCTGAAAGAATAGACTAGAAAAAAACAAAAAACAAAAGTTGATTATTGTCGCCTAAATTTTATCGCGTTTGTTTACCACAATATATCAGTGCTAATACAAAGCTCGCCCCAATACTCCACAGGAGAAAAGATTAATCCCGAGGGAATGTACCAGAAACAGTCCAATATCAAATTCTATTATTCTGTTATCCTCCTTCATATGATCTCCATTGTCCAGATAATTGCTCAAATATTTAATTGTGTCTCACAATAGTACAACGCATTCAAACATTCATACCGCAGCAATAATTTGTGGTTTTCGATAGGTCAAGGGTTAGTTTTCACAAACGGCTTTTGCATGTTTCCCTGATTTGAGTTTGAATACATACACCTAATTTGGCCGATATAAATATACAATTACAGAATGAAATTTTGAGTTCCGCTGCTTTTAACGTTTAAATCTATAAGGTAAAACACTTCATTGTTGCAAATAAGAATATTTTGGTCCTGTGATTGTCACACAATGAAAAGTATTAGAAACAAATATACAAGAAATATATATGATGTCATGTGGTCACATCCCCTTTGTTTACGGTGTTTTAAGTGCTGGTCACCACCTACTTATGTAACTACATAAATAGGTTTTTTTTCGATAAGGTGTTTCATGCTATACAATCATCATTAAGAACATCACGTCCTCCAATACATTATCCTATTTGTTGTCAAATCTAGGCCAGAATTATCTACGTTTATTACTAAGTAATTGCATTTTATCCCTAACGCATGGTGTTTACATATCACAGGAGAGTTGATATTCAAAGGCCTGTTCCTTATATCAATTTTCGTGCAAGTTGTCGTCAACTTGCAAACTCATAACACAGGGTTTTGAGAGAAGCAGGTTGAAAATTATGGAAGAGTTTTACTGTTGTAATAGTAGACTCAATAAGAAATATTCCTTTTCTTTCTCTGATATAGAGCTGGAGTTTTACTATCGTAATAGTAGACTCGGTAAGAAATATTCTATTTCTTTGATATAAAGCTGGACGTGTTTGGTGCTCATTTGTTTGCTTGTTGGTTCCGTTGTTGTATACCTTGTTCTCATTTGAGAATATGACAATATTTACTTGGATTGACCAAAATGAACGTAAAGTTTGTCGTCTATAAAGCAGAGGACTCCCACTTTTCTGGAACACCTGGTCTTTTTCATTAGTCTCTGTGTAAATTTCTCTTTTGATGATTTGTTGTCCTACCTTGTTGAATTTGAGTTTGGATTAAGACTATCTTCACTTGTTATTTTTGTGTGGGTTATGTTTCTGTCATTTTAAATTTTATTCCAAATCTACAAACTCCAAAATATATAGATACATTGTTGATAATAACCCTCACGTGCAAAGAATAAATTTGGATGTCGCTTGCATAAGTTATCAAAAATTCGTCTCGATTTATTGAAATTTGTTCACACTTTAAACACACATTCTTCAAAATCAATCACAGAATCCACTTTAGTTTGATGACCAAATGTCATTGCACGAATGCCCATTTCGTAATCATTTCTAGATTTATGCCTCAGCTTCCGCGCTGAAAACTTGTTATGGGCATTCAAAATTTAAAGTGAAAAACTTTCGAACTTTAAGTGCATCTTATCTGAGTTTTCATTTACTCTTGCTCAATAACTGTGACGTGCTTATTTCAAAACGAATGACTTTTGAATAAAAAAAATCAGAATTATCCGTATTAGCAATGAAAGGCCTATTGTTAATTTAAATTTGTATTTCCAATATTTAACAGACGGATTCGGCCTGTTGAAAGTATATTATTACTACCCATTGTCTCCTGTTTCGTGTATATGTTTCTAATGTTATAAACACAGTTTTATTGTTGATAATAAATTTTGAAAATCAGTATTGTTTGTTCATTTTTAACCTACCAGTATCAATTTAGTATCAAACACTTTGGTACAATGGGATTGATAGACAAGCAGATAAGCCTTGATCACACTGTTACTGTCGTAACTATTCTTAGAGAAAAGTAAGTACAGTGTTGTACATGATGGTTTTCTATTTAACAAAATCTATAATGACATATACTTTCGAAAATTTATTTTACACCATTTATAAACAATGTTATGTTATATTTTCTGTATATGTGAAAATTTTTGCAACGGTGTAACTTTCGTCTGTTTTGCCCTTAAGGATAAAAGGTAGTTTAATTATCGAGGAGAGAATGAAGCGTTCAGAGAAAATGAACCGTTCAATAAGAGTTAAAAACACTAAGAATGTTTCCCATATGCATTTATGTTATATCAACATATTTAGAGAAAAATACATCTTCATCAAAATCCCGTTGAGATTAACCAATGTCTTATATGACCTCATTTAGTGAA